TAACAAGTTTGACGGTTAGATCGTTAAAATTAGTTTTGTAGAATGTATGTCCCATCAAAACGATAGATTCACTTACACTTAAGAGTTTATTCATACTTTTATTAAGTATAACATAAGATTTTGTGGTATCCACTAGTGTAAATATTTTAAATTGAAGATCAAGTTCATTAATTGTATTCATATAGGGTCAAGGAGTGTAGCTGTAAAAAATCATCACAATCGGAGTTAAAATAACCGTTAAATCGTGATTTTTTGATGATAATAGTAAAAAGGTTTTGTCCCGTTACTTGATCTCTAAATATTTTTTTTTTTGCGATTTTTTGTTGATGCGATCTCGAAGCATATACAAACAAGCTTGACGGTTGGATCGTTGAAATTAGTTTTGTAGAATTTGTATCCCATCAAGTTCAATGGTGTGTGTGTATATATATATTAAGTAGATTTAAATTTATTTATTTTGTACGTATACCATTTAAGAAATTGAATGGTATTTATATTTAAGCCGATCAAATTGTGACATCCCACATTGCCCAGGGAAGTGATCCTTATATGTATACTCTCATCCATACCTAGCACGAGGCCTTTTGGGAGCTCACTGGTTTCAAGTTCCGTAGGAACTCCGAAGTTAAGCGAGAAGAGGGCTAGAGTAATCCCATGATGGGTGACCCACTGGGAAGTTGCTCGTGAGTTCCCAAAAACAAAACCGTGAAGGAATGGTAAGCCCAAAGTTGACAATATCGTGCTACGGTGGTGGAGCGGGCCCGGGAAGTGGTCCGCTCCGGGCCGGGATGTGACAATTTGGTATCAGAGCCTAATCTTGGCCGTGGTGTGTCGACGAGGATATCGGGCCCCTAAGGAGGTGGATTGTGACATCCCATATCACCTAGGGGAGTGATCCTTATATGTATATTCCCATCCCTACCTAGCACGAGGCATTTTGGGAGCTCATTGGCTTCGGATTTCGTAGGAACTTCGAAGTTAAGAAAGAATGGGACTAGAGCAATCCCATGATGGGTGACCCATTGGGAAGTTGCTCGTGAGTTCCCAAAAACAAAACTGTGAGGGAATGGTAAGCCCAAAGTGGACAATATCGTGTTACGGTGGTGAAGTGGGGCCCTGGGCGGACCACTTCCCGGGCCCGCTCCGGGCCAGGATGTGACAAATAATTATATATTTTAATTTAACAATTTTATACCGCTAAAAACCGAGATCAGGGCATGCTGGCCGTCACGTGGAAGTGACGTAACCATGTGCACAGTACGGAAGCTAAGAAATAATAATAAAAGTACGAATAAAAATGAACCTAGCTATACACAAAGTAAATAACATACATGTGCAAGTGTAAGTGTGAAAACAAAGTTCAGAGCACGGATGACCTAGTGCAGTCAGAGGGAAACAACACTAAATAAACACACCCAAAGATGGTCCTATACTGGTGACAATCTGTCAGATAAGCCTAGGGAGCCACCAAAAGTGCTAGCCAACTAGAACCTGGAGGGGCGCAAAACAGAATGCGTGAGTGGGCAAAAACAATGCTTTTCAAAAATCATTTCATAAACAAAGTTATAACCCCTTGCCGTAAAACCTGTATATTTCCCAGAAAATATAATATATACATATATATGATATTGTCCGCTTTGGGCTTACCATTCCCTCACGGTTTTGTTTTTGGAAACTCACTAGCAACTTCCCAGTGGGCCACCCATCATGGGATTGCTCTAGCCCCCTTTTTGCTTAACTTCAGAGTTCCTATGGAACCTGAAGCCAATGAGCTCCCAAAATGTCTCGTGCTAGGTAGAGATGAAAATATACATATAAGGACCACTCCCCTGGGCGATGTGGGATGTCACATTATTATAGTATTTTTTTAGGGTTATAAAATTATAAAACTAATATTTTGCTTATCGTGTATTGTCACATCCCGGCTCGGGCCCCAACCACATCCCGGGCTCGACTCTACCGTAGTATGATATTGTCCACTTTGGGCTTCTACCACACCCTCACGGTTTTGTTTCTAGGAACTCACATGAGAACTACCCAGTGGGTCACCCATCCTAGGAATACTCTCGCCCGAACTCGCTTAACTTCGAAGTTCAGATGGAACCTGAAGTCAGTGAGCTCCCAAAAAGGTCTCGTGCTAGGTAGATATGGGAATATACATATAAGGCTTACATGATCCACTTATCTGGGTGATGTGGGATGTTATAATTCACCCCCCTTAGGGGCCCGACGTCCTCGTCGGCACACTTCCGACCCTGGATTAGCTCTGATACCAAATTGTCACATCCCAACCCGGGCCCCCATCACATCCCAGACACGACTCCACCGTAGCACGATATTGTCCACTTTGGGCCCCTACCACACCCTCACGGTTTTGTTTTTGGGAACTCACACGAGAACTTCCTAGTGTGTCACCCATCATGGGAATGCTCTCGCCCGAAATCGCTTAACTTCGAAGTTCTGATGGAACCCGAAACCAGTGAGCTCCCAAAAGGCCTCGTGCGAGGTAGATATGAGAATATACTCATAAGGCTTATAAGATCCACTCCCCTGGGCGATGTGGGATGTTACATGTATTGTTTTACTTACGTGTATATCTGAACCAACCCGTTATCTTAACAGGTGCTTATTGAGTTATCCGATAACGACCCGATTTGTTATCGTGTTGACCCGAACCTGTTAATTTCGTGTCGTGTTAGGAATTGCTAAGCCTACTATTCTCCCATCATCGGAGATTATTGGCAATTTCGATTGGATTTTGCCTCCGTCTGCAGAAGTGTGCAAATTAGATCTGACAGAAACCAATTTTTTTGAAAATGCTATTAATAAAGAAAATGCTGGAGATACCAAATTTTTAGACCATCTTTTGTACACCACATGATATGGCAATTGATGGTTGAGCTCATTTTTTTAATAATTTAAAGAAGACTGGAACCATTACCTGTCACTTCATGTGGTCTACAAAAACTGGTCAAAAAAGTTGACCTCTTTAGCATTAATTTATTACTAATTTTGGTTAGTCAATTGGAAAGTTGTATTTTTTTAAAACCGTTCGCATAAAAAATGTCTTTATATTTAGGGTTTTTTGGATATTGATCCTTGCAACTTTTATTTCCTAGACAAAAACCCACCTAGTTATAAACATCTAAACAAAACTCAAATTTAAAAATGATTGCCAAGTATAGAAGTAATTGGCCTATTATTACAAAATATTTACAATTTGTACCACAATATTCAAAATAAAATCAAGAAATGTTATTACTCACCTTAATTACAATAAAATAAAAAAAATATAATTATTGCACATATTATTACCCCTAACACACACATATATACTTCAAATGTATATATTACTACCATAAACTTAATATATATATATGTACACATATATAGTTTACCTATATGAACATATAGTAGTACTATATATATAGTTTACCTATATATATAATACTACTATATGTTCACACATATATATATACACACACACATATACATGCACGGTACTATATATATGATCAAACATATTAAACTAATTAATCTACCTATATTTAAATTTATTATGAGCAAATAACATATATTTTGTAGGTAAATTGAATCAAATAGCATTCTTTTATTTTGTAGGTAATTTATTTTCCATGTATTATTACATATATTTGGCACATTTTATTGTTATAAAATATATGTACAAATAATAGGTAAATTAATCTTGAATAAAATACAATTGCTTTATTTTGTAAGTAAATTAATTTTGAATCAAATAACATTTCTTCATTATGCAGGTATTTTATCTTGCATGTATCATCATATATATTGGGCACATTTTATTATTATATGTACAAATAATAGGTAAACTAGTATTGAATAAAATAATAACATTTTCTTATGTAGGTATATTATTTTGCATATATTTGGGTTTGCTTTATTATGTAGGTAAATTATTTTGCATGAATTTTTATGTATATCATGCATGTTTTTTTTTGTTGTTATATATATATATGTGTGTGTGTGTGTGAAATAATTTACCTACATTTATATGTAAAATATAATTTTATTGACTTAACTAAGCATGTATTACTACATTTATTAGGCATGTTTTTTTGTTATTATATATTATGCAATGAATTTATTATTATTTTTTATTTTTGTAAAATGATTAATTCTCCCTTACAATTTGTATGGAATTAAGTGTGTAAATCAAACATTCAAATCAGGGTGTTTTGGGCATCGAAATTTTTTAAATGTGTAAAATCAAATATAATTAATGAATTTGTTGATGTGGAATCTAGTCAATGAGTTTTATTCCAGTAAAAAACTTATGTTGGGTTTTATGCGAAGAAAAATAAATTTTAGAGACTAATTAAAGTCATATTTTCAGTTATATTTATTCATTCTAGGGATTAGATATGTTTTTGTGTTCAGGATTTCTCTTTATCATCGAACTCTCATCCTTATCAACATGAAAGAGGGTGTCTGATTTACCTTGTTAATGAGAATTACTAAAGTTAGACATAATAACTCTCTTTCAAAGAATGAATTAGCCACGGAAAAAAAATTGTGTCCTAATACGTGAATAATCATGTATGCAAGAAAAATTTACAGGAAACCATTCTATATAAAACAAAGAGTGGATAAGATGAAATACTCATCCAACCAACTCACGGTTAACAAATATTCTTAATTTAAATCAAAATATGCTAATCGATCCATTCCTCAAATTCCACATTGTAAATTTGTTGGCCGTCATAAATTTTGCATCCAATGTATATGCATAACAAGATGTCCTATTGATTTTTGTATATACATTCTACAACCTATGAGCATTAAATTTCTGTTCTGACTAAATCTGAAAGAATTTATAAGGAAGGTCCTTGCATGTAATATAAATACCAGTCAGTGGGGTTAAAGCAAGCAAGTTAGCAAGCAACCGTAGTGCTCCTTCTTACACCCTAGTTTGCAAACACCAGGGCTCCTCCTTGTGCCTTAGTTTGCAGCGAGTCACAATGACTAGAGAAAAAGTGAAGCTTGCCTACATCCAAAATGACCAAACTCGAAAATTGACATTCAAGAAAAGGAAGAAGGGACTACTGAAGAAGATGTCTGAACTCACTATCCTTTGTGATGTTCAGGCATGTGCTATCATTTATGGAAAACATGATACTCAAGCTGAGGTTTGGCCATCCCCTGCGGGAGTCCAACGCACTTACATGAAGTTCAAGACAATGCCGTCGATGGAGCAGACTAAGAAGCAGCTGAACATGGAGACTTTTCTAAGGCAGCAGATCGAGAAGACAAAAGACCAGCTGAGGAAACAGAAGAAGGAGAATCACGAAAAGGAGATGTCAATCATGATGAGCAAGTGTCTGACTGGGAGGTCCTTGCAGGGTTTTAACATGGAAGATCTGAATGACCTAGGCTGGGTGATTGATCACAAAGTGGAGGAGATAAATAGAAAGATGAAGAAAGTGAATGACGAGCTGGCTCAGAACGAACAATCAAAGCCATGTAGTAAAAACATCACCGCCACCAGCGATCAGCGGCAGAATGATGAACATGCAGCAAGCTCAGGCAGCACTCATGGAGATGATGACCCAACAAGACCATCAGCAACATCAGCAGATGGTGGGGCTTGAAGCCAAAACTTGGGATGAGTTTTTGTCGTTTGGGAGCCATTACCACCATGCTATATGGTCCAATACGCCATTTTACCCTTGAACATCGGTGATGTACTAGTTTGTTTTCTTTTGATATGACCACATAAAGTTTCTACAATGTTTTAATAACTTTACAGGGTGTTGGATGTTTTAATTTTATTAACTTTTACATTTCATGGATGTAACTTTAATTTGTCATTATTAATAAAATATGCAGTTCTTTCCTTTATATTATTTCCAATTTAAATTACTTTGAATTAAGAATTACTTCAAATAGGTGTTGTTCTAGAATCCAATAAAATTGTGAAAGATGAGTTTATATTTCTCATAGAAGTTGAAGGAGAACTTCAACCCTTAAATCAACTTTATCTGATCTATATAGCAAAAGAATGTCAAAAAGGTTTAAGAAAGAAATTGAATAATTTTAGTCATTGTTAGAAGTACAATTTATTCAACAAAAACAAAAAAAAAAAAGAAAAAGAAAAAAAGATATGATATATGATCAATGCTTCTATTGTAGGCAAGTTTATCTTACATTGGCAGTTCTAAGCCTAAATAAAGGAGGAGATGGAGTGCGTTGGGTAGTTGATAGCCAACATTTTTATCTTCACGTTGAATCCTTATGATATGATTCCTAAACAAAATTGCGCTAAAACGAGGTTGTCACTCGTACGCGACACGCTGTGTGGCTCGGGCACAATGGCCATTGTATCTCCATCGGCACACAGATGCAGTGTCAAACAAGAAAAGGCACTGTAAAAACTTCTGTTTGAATGACTCCACTCAAAGTTGTTTGGAAGTATTTACTAGCATCAACTTTACCCAAGACATGCAAAAGAAGTATTTAATCTTACTGGATGGGTGAGGCCAAAGAAGTTAGGACATGATGGTAGGATTCAAGAGAGTAGAATGCATTTAGGAATGTAAATGGGAAAAATCTATGGAAGTAGTAGAATGAATGGTTAGGAGAATGATAAGTATTATGTGTGGATGCAAATTTCCACCTTCTTTTCTTTTGATAAAAATGCACCTGCAAAATAATAACACCTAAGATCAAAGCTAAGGGCCTCATGCGCCCACAATGAATAGGGGGGCTTTGGCCGAAGAATCTCCGATGCCAAAATTAGAATTTGAGAGAGAAAATGTTTAGAGAATTTAGGGAGAGAATGGACTTAGCTGTTTGGAGAAAAAATGAGACTATATATAAGAGTGTGGCTGGCCCTATTTGGAGAAACAGGGACTGGCCACTTATGGTGATTTTTTGAATATAATTGCACGATATTATGTCAAATAATATATGGCAATTAATTTGGTTATTAATCCCAATTAGAATAAGGAAATTGGGAATTACCTTTTGCGTGGGGATTTGATGAGGATTGATGAGAGGGTTTTGAATAAATACCATTTTGATCACCTTTGACTCTTCCTTGATTGAGCCGTTATTGTTCGTTGCTTGCGCGTGGGAATTCTGATGTGCTTTGAGGGTAATTTTGTCTTTTTACCCAAAAGTCCACGTGTTGCCTCCATAATTTTTTTGATTATTTTTGGCTCCACAAATGCCCCCACACCTGTTGGGCTACTCGCAGGAAAGGGCAGTAGGTATAGAGATCTTCCCTTACTTTAGGAAACGTAAGATTGTTTCCTATTTTGATGTATATTCCCACATTAGTTGGAAATTAGATCATTCTAGGAAAGGGGAATAAATCACTTCTAAAGTCTATTTAAGTCTACCTTAAGTAGATGATTAAATCAACTTCAGAGAGCAATTTATTCTACTTTACAAGAGAGAGAAAGCTAGAGGATATTTGTTCTCCCTCCCTTAGCAATCTTCTACACTTGCCCGTGCAAAGGACCGTCTTTCGTTGCTTTCTTTGTCTTTTCCGCGGTGCTTCGAGGTAAGAAAAATTTAATTTTCCATGTCTTCTTCTTGGATAGTGCTGTCGCGAGGCAATCGTTGGGGTGGTGTGGCATGTCAGCTAGCAGGGGCCAGAAGTGGGTTCGACATGGGCCAAGAAGTGTTGTGGCAGAGACTACTGTTTGGGTTGCTCGACTTGGCTAGAGCCAAGGGCAGCTGTGTGGCTGGGGCTGCGGATTGAGGCGCTGTGGCGCAGTGCTAGGCGAGCCGTATGGCTCATTGCTTGGAGAAGTGCTAGTGCTCTGCGTATGACCGTGTGGTGCAGTGCTTGGAGAAAAATGAGACTATATATAGGGGTGTGGCTGGCCCTATTTGGAGAAATAGGGACCGGCCGCTTATGGTGGTTTTTTGAATATAATTGCAAGATATTATGTCAAATAATATTTTGCAATTAATTTGGTAATTAATCCCAATTAGAATAAGGATATTGGGAGTTACCTTTTGAGTGAGGATTTGATGAGGAGTGATGAAAGGGTTTTGAATAAATACCATTTTGATCACCTGACTCTTCCTTGATTGAGCCATTATTGTCTGCTGTTTGCGCGTGGAAATCTCGGTGTGCCTCGAGGGTAATTTTGTCTTTTTACCCAAAAGTCCATGTGTCACTTCCATAATTTTCTTGATTATTTTTGGCTCCACATTATGTGCCTCGATGAAACTAAGTGGGTTGGTCTTAAGAAGAAAGATCTCGAATACAACTTTGGTATTCGGGTACAAACAGATTGAGAAATGATGTTGACATCATCGTGGATAAAACTAACAAAAGATGTTGTAGATGTTAAGACGGTCAAGGATAGAATTATAGAAATCAAAATTATGCTAGGACAAGAACTCCTCAATGTAATTAGTTTGTATACACCTCAAGTGGGGTTGGATAAGAGTATGAAGGAGACATTTTGGTAAGATCTTGGAGAATTGGTCCAAGGAATCCCTCAGACAGAGAAGCTACTTGTTGAGTCAATTTTATATTATATATTTTACCTTATTCTTATTATTTTTGGTAATTTTTTTAATGAGATTTTGATACTTTGAATTGTTACAATTTAGAAAATTTTAATTTGTGCCTTATTAAAAATATAAATTTAACTAATTCCTCACTATCACTAAACAAAAGTAACTTTTTATTTATGTTTTTATATTTTATTAGTCTCTTTCGTCATTAAAAAAAGTCATTAATCCCTTCATACATAAACTTCATTAATTTGTTAAAATTTTACAGATAATTACATAAGAAAAAATGTATATAAAACTTATGCTACATTTGAAAATAAACGTGCCTTTTGGTACGTTAGATTTTAAATGTACCAATAAACAAAATATATCAGAAATACAAATATACCATAAAATCAGATGTACCAATATTATAGGTAATTAAATGTACCAATATAAGCAAATATACCTCTGATAAAATTATCAATTTTTTTTAATTAAAGTATTAAAAGGAACAAATGTTTAACCAACAAAATTAAAAAAACGAGACATTGAATAAAATGGTGCACTAATCAAATTTTGCTAGGTGCATTGATCAATTTGTTTTCTTTACTGTGTGTATGTACTGCGTACGGATATTACCCTGAAAAAAGGAGCAGGGCCTCCTCTCCTGGTCAAGGCCATCCATATCATTCAATCATCCGACTGTTAACTAGATTGTAATGTTTGGGAATTGAAAGAAAATCAAGAAGAAAGATGAAGAGAAGAAAGATCAACACAGAGAGTTTTAGAGAGAGAAATATGCTTTTGTATTGATTGGTAGAAAGAAGGTTACACAACTATTTTTATAAGAGAAAACCTAACTACTCTAACCAACTTACTAACTGTATTGCTAACTTGTATACTTAATGCTCCCCTTCAATCTCAATTGGGAAACCCAGTTTGAGATTGGAAGAACATCTACAATCACTAAACACAATGTTGAACCATCTGCAATCTTGCAATCCCACAGCAAAGTCTCATGAGCAACTCTATTGACACACCAAATTCCTTATCAAAAACCTTGGTCTCGCCAGCCGCAGCCACTTCCAAAGCAGTAACCCTCTCTGCGAACTTATCAACCTAGGCTATGACTTCAGCAATTGCATGAGAATCTTTAAAAATCGCATTGGTTTTGCCTCTAACCTGTCCATCATTGTTTAGCTTCTCTTTGTTATTGACTCTAACTTCTCCAGCATTGATTGGCATCATTAAACTGTGCAATTTCATATTAGTTATTTCCAAAGAATTTCAGCCCCACAAACTGATGTGTACACCTCTGTAGCTACTGCAAACCAAATAGAGAAGCAGCCTCTTATAAAATTGTAACACATCCTCATGCCGGTTATAACAATTTCTTACGGAATTACCTTTCGTGGGATTTACCGTCAACAACTTCTTTTAACAATGGTTTCGTGCCCACAATCAAAACTAATTACTAACGGCTTCGTGCCAACAAATTTCAACTTCTAATGGCTTCGTGCCAACAATCTTCAAGTACTAATGGCTTCATGTCCATTTCTAATGGCTTTCTGCCAATGCTAAACTACATTATACTAATGTCCAGGGGATCGCCCTTTGTAGATTTACCAATTCACAACACTGCCTACCTATTCATAACATGGAATTACCCTTCGTGAGATTTACCATTAACTTCTTCTAACTTCATCGTATAACCGGACTTACTGTAGATTCATGTTAATAATTGAGTTGGTTAGACTCGACATTATAGGTTGTGATAAGAAAACATATTGCACAAACTCCTCAATTAACTCCTGAACAAGCTTCCATTCATCAGTCAACACAATCTATGCTTCAGCAGCATCCACAGTCAGCTCTCGGGGGTCCAATTTCAGGATCCTTCAGTTTCCTATTTTTGGCATCGCTTTTGCAGGTTTTAATCTCCACCATTCAAGACAGAATTGCTGGAACAGTAAGGGAATACTATATTTTGCAATACATCCAAAACATGCAGAGAGTCAATTACCAAGTTTGTTCCTTCTTCATTGATTTCCAAAACATTTTGAGCAATGGGAAATAGGAAGTCATCAGCAAAACCGCCTCCTAAGAAGTGGAATGACAAGCTTAATACCGTCCTCAACTATCTCTTCTGCAGCCATGACACTAGTGTTGAATGTCGTATTGACATAAAGAACTTGATTGGGAAAGCTTCTTGTAGAATATGCCAAGAAAACTTCAGCACCACCATCACAGCTTTATCTGAACCAATAGACGTCTACAGCGAATGGATTGATGAAAGCGAAGCAGGTGCAGTCACAGCACCAAGCCAAATATCCCAAATATCACAAACACTAATCTTGAAGCAATGACCAATCTTGAATCCAAATATCCCAAATATCACACTAATATCCCAGAAAAGACTCATAAGAAAGATGAACAAATGGAGTGTAAATTCAATATACCACTCTTTGGCTATCGGCCTTACTAATTAACAAAATAGCGAACATTTTCGTACTAAAACATTTAATCAAACATATTATGTGCACTGTGAAAACCAGAAATCAAGAACCTGAAAAGAACTTCAACCTTGAGCCAAAGAACACAGGAAGCAAACCAGAAACCTTGGTGAATCAATCTACCAACTAGCAGCAACCATGGTTTTCCTTTCACTCCAACAATTCAAGCTTCGCCTATGAAACCTACTGCTTCAGTGCGATTGCAATCTTTCATCTCGAGCAACAACCTTAGCAGCAAGCACTGAGAAAACTAAGACTGAGCAGAACCTGAGTGAGAAATGTTGGTGGGGTTTTCTCTAAAAGCTGCAGATCAGCTTCCCTCAAGGACCCACGAAGATGGTCTGGTCAATAAGTACTATGAATACGGAAGCATATTGGGATCAAATACGCGGAAAACATAGAAAGTAATGAAGAAAGATAGAAAGTAATGAGGGAAGAGGAATCGACCACCAAGATCCATGGCGTGAGCCTTGGTGGCTCTGATACCATGTTAACTAGATTGTAATGTTTGGGAATTGAAAGAAAATCAAGAAGAAAGATGAAGAGAAGAAAGATCAACACAGAGAGTTTTAGAGAGAGATAGATTTAGAGAGAGAAATATGCTTTTGTATTGATTGGTAGAATATGAAGGTTACACAACTGTTTTTATAAGGGAAAGCCTAACTACTCTAACCAACTTACTAACTGTATTGCTGACTTGTATACTTAATACCGACAACACGTCGACGGAGGACTAGGAAAATAAACTTGTCCTCGCCCCCATTGTTCGCGTTGTGAGTGCTCGATCTCTTCTTTGTTTTCTATCATTGTGAATGCTCTCTTCTTTGTTTTCCATCTTTTGCTCAGTGAAAAATTAACCTTCTTTCATGTTATTTACTAGCTGCTGAATCTGAGGTGTCGCCTGCAGAGAACTGAGACGGTTATTTTTCACTCTTTTGAAGGCCTACGGACGAACAGACGAGGGGCAAAGCTTTGCACTGAGGTAACAATAACAAATGTTTCGTCTTTCACATTTTAGGATGTTCAGTCTGCGTGTATGATCATGCATGGCTGCCCGCCATTATTTGCTCTCATTGCAAAATGTAATATTTAACGACAGTAGAAATGGATTAAACTACTTGCAATCGGCATTACCTCCGACAAGGGAACAAATATATCATATTCATCCTAAGTTTATTCGTTCGATTGAAATGTGCTTCGTATGTCTACCTTTGATCCATGTTAAGCATTTTACTATGTCTTCTGGTAATTAACTCGTGCTTCGTTGAGCTATTTGACATGGAAGTATAATGGTCACCATGTAACAACGGATTCATAATCATTCACCATTAGATTTTATATCATGGATTAAGATTAAAACATGAAGAAAAGAACGTCAATTTAACTCCACCCTTGAGATCAAATCCAATGTTTACCAAGAGAGCTTTTTTTTTTTACTAAAAAAAATAAATAAATAAAGTTTCCAAAAATAGGTTTTAGGGTTTTCAGAGTACAAAGGAGATATGCATTAGAGAGAAGACGCAGAACAAAAAAAATTCTAAAAAAGAAACAGTCCTTTCTCGATTCCCTTGAGGATTAAATTAATCATTTCTAAAATTGGCTATTTTGCACTTATGATGTTTGGACGAGGGAAATAAAATTAGAATTTTGATAAAAGTTAGAATTTATGAATTGACATGCACCAATTCTCTTGTTTGGATTTATAAATATAGAAATTTAGAATTTTCGCGTGGAAAAAAATATGGAATTTGGGATCTCCAATTAGTTTAAATTCCATGTAAATAGGGTCATTTCCGAATTTCCATAACACTATGTTTGGATGAAGAAATTTAAGATTACTAAGAAATTTTAAAATGACTAGATTTTATTTTCTAGAATTTGTGAATTTTCTTGTTTGGTTAACCTAAAAGAACAATGGAATTGAATGCATAATTTGTTATTTTTAAACTCTCGATCATAGAAATTGGGAAATGACGCATATTTACATGAAATTTAAACTTGGGAATTGGAGATTCCAAATTCCTAGTTTTTTTTTCACGCGGAAATTCTAAATTTCTATGTTTATGAATCTAAACAAGGGAATTGGTATATGTCAATTTATAAATTCTGACTTTTATCCAAATTCCAATTTATATTTCCCTCATTCAAACATAGTGTAAGTGAGAGTTTAAAAATATCAAATTTCGTTTCAAATTTCATTGTTCTTTTACACTATGTTTGGGGGAAGAATTTTAAGATTACTAAGCAATTTAAAAATAACGGAAATTGAAATGACGAGATTTTATTTTCTAGAATTTGTAAATTTTCTTGTTTGGTTAACCTAAAAGAACAATGGAATTGAGTACATAATTTGTTATTTTTAAAACTCTTAATCATAGAAATTAAGAAATGACACCTATTTATATGGAATTTGAACTTGGGATTTGGAGGTCCCAAATTTCAAGTTTTTTTTCCATGCGGAAATTCTAAATTTCTATGCTTATGAATCCAAACAAGAGAATTGGTGCCTGTTAATTTATAAATTCTGACTTTTACCAAAATTCCATATTTATTTCCCTCATCCAAACATAGTGTTAGGTTAACCAAACAAGAAAATTTACAAAATCCTAAAAAAAAAAAAAAAAAAATTTCCGTCATTTTAAAATTCCTTAGTAATCTTAAATTTCTTCCTCCAAATTTTTTATTAGTTACATGCCTCCACATGTTTTGAGAATTAGCCAATTTCTTTGTGGATGTTTAACTAATCTTGGCTGCTCAATTCATTGTATTTCACAGACCATTTGCATCAAAACATGTTTCTATATTTGTTTGTTTGTTGGGTATGTAGGTATGTTGTCGTGTTCTTTGTAATTGGACTCTCATCCGTATCAACAAGAAAGAGGGTGATAAATTTACCTTGTTAACGATAATTACCAAAGTTAAACATAATTAAATTCTTTCAATGAATGAATGAATGAGCCACGAAAAAATCTGTGTCCAAATACATGAATGTTCATGCATGCATGGAAATTTATAGAAAAGCCTTCCATATAAAAACAAGAGTGGATAATATCAAATAATCATCCAACAAACTCACGTTTTACAATTTTTTGTTAATTTAAATCACTAGTTGCTACTTTGCTAATACGATTCCTTCCACCAAATTCCACATTGTAAATTTGTTGGCAGTCATAAATTTCACATCCAATGTATACAGATATCAAAATGGTCTCTACTGATTTTTATATATCCTGCAACCTAAGAGTATTAACTTCTGTTGTGGACTAAATCTGAGAAAATTTAGGAGGGGGGTCCTTGTAAGTAGTATAAGTACCACTCAGTGGAGTTGGGGTTAAGCAAGCAAGTAAACTGTAAGGCTCCTCCTTAAGCAAACCCTAGGGAATCTCCTTGTGCCCTAGCTAGCAACCATGTCCCGAAAGAAGGTGAAGCTTGCCTACATCCAAAACCACACGACTCGAAAACTAACATTCAAAAAAAGAAAGAAGGGTTTTATGAAGAAGATGAGCGAAATCACTACCCTTTGTGATGTTGAGGCATGTGCTGTCGTTTATGGACAGAACGATACTCAGCCTGAGGTTTGGCCATCCCCTTCGGGAGTACAGGGCACTTACGCGAAGTTCAGGACAATGCCCTCAATGGAGCAAACCAAAAAGCAGCTGAACATGGAGACTTTTCTGAGGCAGCGGATTGACAAGGCAAAGGACCAGCTGAGGAAACAGAAGAAGGAGAACCGGGAGAAAGAAATGTCAATCCTGATGAGCCAGTGTCTAACTGGGAGGTCCCTACACGATCTGAACGTGGGGGATTTGAATGACTTAGGGTGGGTGGTTGACCACAAAGTGGAGGAGATCAATAGAAAGGTGAAGAAAGTGAATGACGAGTTGACTTGGAACGGGAGTAATCAAGTCCAACTAGTACCAACACCGCCGCCACCACCAGCGATCAGTGGTGGAACGATGAACATGCAACAAACTCAGTCTCAAGCTGCACCGATGGAGATGATGACCCTGCAAGACCAGCAGCTGCAACAGCAGATGGCAGCAATTGGAGCAAACACCGGGGACGACTTTCTGCCCTTTGGGAACCAGAACCACCAAGCTCTGTGGTCTAATACTCCATATTACCCTTGAAACGTCGGCGACGTACTGTTTTGTTTTCGTATGATATGAACCACATGGTGTTTCCGCAGTGTTTTAATTTAATAATTATGTGATTTCATTTATCCAGTGTTTTTTTAGATCAACCACAAGGAGAGTTTTTTGTTTGATTTTTTAAGTAAGTAAACGAGAAAGAGGATGTTTTATTTTCAGTAATTTTTACATTTGATGGATGTAACTTTAATTTAGTCGCTATTAATAAAATATGCAGTTCATCCATTGTTAATGATTTTTTTTTTTTTTTTTTGTGGTTTTTCAGATTAACATATCATAAGATTTTTACTATCTACAAAAGTAGAGATAAAAAATACTTGCAAGAGTACAAGGTAATCGTAGTATAGTTGCCTCTAGCATAGTTTAATTAATTATTTAAATCAAAGTTTGAGAAAAAGGTGATTTTATGATTTAAAATAATAAAAACGAATTTAATAGAAATAACTAAAAAAATCGACAAAATAAAATAAACTAAAAAAAAAAAGGGTTTTTGAAAGTTAAATTGTAAATGCACTAGGCTTCCGCTGTCATCATAACAATCTTACGTAATTCTTCCAATTACTTATGACTTACACACCCATATTTTGAAAGTTAGGTTTTCCTAATATGTGTCTACTTGGACGTCAACATGGAGCTTATAGCAAACTTGCAATCTTTGTTTGTGATATTCAAATCAAATCTAAACATGCACGGCTCATTTAGTTTTGTGAAACCTTTTAAAAAAACCATACAACCTTTAAGACGTGGTATTCATTATAAGCGAACTTGCACATATTAACCATAAGAAGCCTTCGTCAATTTCAGGGACCGACCTCTGACCAAAATTGCATCAAATTACTTTTCTAAATATCTTAATGGTGATCAAGCATTAAGACAATTAGATAGTTTAAACACGATGATTAATAATTCAAAACCTACATGTATACTATCATAAGCAAATTGAAAAGAAACTACATATTCTTACTCAGGCTCGTGGCCTTGCCCTAGCAAACGGAAATTAGTTAGGAACAATCATAAAACAAAATATTATTAAAAATAAGGATATAAAACACCTTGTAAATAGCCAAAAGCTCTCTAAGCCGAATTCTCTAAAATAATGCGTTGTTCTCCCCTTTTTAAGAACCCTAATGACTAAAAAGTCTTATTTATACCACCAAAAAATAACATCCGTACTAGAAAAGATCTTCTAAAAACTAGGAAACATAATAGAACAAGATAACTAGGAAATACATTCATATTCTAACTTTGGGAAATCTGCTAAGCCGAAAAGTAGTCACGTTTCTGGATCTTTAGGGATCCAAAACAGGTCCAAAATGGCTAGAATTAAAGCTTGTGATGTCCTAAACATAATTGCAGAAGGCCCCGAACCCAAAAGACATCATCTTGGACGTCAAAAGCCCAAATAAGCAAGAAACGTCACTTTGACAGCACTATGCACTAAACCTTTATTTCATTGCCATAAACAAACCGCTTGGTAGAAAAATCTGAAATTTTGACACGATCAAGCTGAAAGACTCAAAAACATACTCCAACAATTGGAATCACTCCAAATTCATCTGTTTGACCACACTTTTCTTAAGAGGAAGTCGAATGTCCTACATTGGAAATATAATTTAAAGTATCAAAAATCTCACAAAATAACTAATAAATTAATACTAAGAATAAAGTAAAATATATAATATTATATCGACTCATCAACATACTTTGCATAAAGAACTACTTGATTGGGGTGTCGGTCTAGACGTCCTACAAGTTTCTATTTCTCATAGAAAGGGAAGGAGAATATAAAAAGAATGTATACTATATATAATAAAAAAGATATAGGATTGTCTCTCAGTAGTACGATCTGGTGGTATTCCTCTTCACTTGAAAGTGAGAGGTCTTAGGTTCGAATATCGTGGATCACAAATTCGATACCAAATTAGGTTGCCCATTGTATGGCTTAGCCGAACACTCCCTCCCTTTAATGTAAACATATCAATGTACTAAAAAAAAAAAAATAAAGATATTGGGTTAAGTTTTTAAAAATTCAACAAATGCTCTTAGTTTAAGTATATGTTAAGAGATCATAAATTTATTAAATGAGGTTAACATGGGAATATGAGACACCTCGATCAAGCAAAAGTGACTATTCTTGTGTTCTATTAGATGAAAGTGAGGTTTCTTATCTTATTTAGAGCAGAATAGGGCGATATGAGATGCGAGATGAATTAATGAGTAGCTTCATAATGAGACAAATACATTCTTATGTCGCATTAGTCAAAACCGACATGTAATTTGTTATAAAAATAAGTTCTAAGTAGTTGAATGTTATGAAAGGCTTAACTGTAAAAAGCCCCAATATTTTGGACCAAATAAAACAATGAACAATATTTTGGATAAGAAGAAAATAATGAAATATAGTTAAAAAAAATGAATAATTTTAGAAAATGAAGACAGTAATTAAGTTTGGTCCTGCGGATTCTCCTGCAAATAGGAGCAGGGTCTCCTCTCCTGGTCAAGGCCATTCAGATCGGACAGAGATTTCAGTCGGATCTTCCCCATCAAGTTCTAAGGATTTGGAGATTTTGATTGTTGAAATTTGATTCAACGGTTATAATTATTATTATTTTTAGTGAACTCTTTATTTGTAATCATTGGATCACATTTCAACAATCTGTATCTTTCGATCCTTAAGATTTGATGAGATGAGAACCGGCTGGGATCTCTGTTCATCCAGATCATCCAAGTATCCGACGGGGCCCAAGAAGATGGAGTACGGCAACAAACTTGTCCTCGCCCCCATGGTTCGCGTTGTCAGTAGGCCCTCTCTTCTATCTTTTCTATTTTTTGCTTGAATTTCAGTGAAAAGTTAACCTTCTAGTTCCTGTTATTTACGTAAAAATTTCTTCAAAATTGATTAGGGAACTTTGCCGTTAATTTCGATTACTAGCTGCTGAATATGGAGCTGATATAACCTACGGTGAAGAAATTATCGACCATAAACTTGTCCAATGCCACTGCAAATTCAATGGTATGATACCTTTTTCATTTTTCTCACTTGGTTTTATATTTGTTTCCTGGAGATTTATGGAAGCAAAGAATTTGACCCATTTTAGTTGTGGAGTGCTTAAGTTTGGGAATTTTAATTTGTGTACTGTTTGTTGCTCAGAGAAATTAGGGATCCGTTGATTTTGTGGAGAGAGGTACTGGAAGTGTTGTTCCCAGGACTTGCGATGAGGAAAAGAATCGAGTGGTGTTTCAGATTGGTACTTCAAATGTCGTACAGACTGTCAAATTAAGTTTCGTGTTAGTTGATTGTTGCATTGCATTGTTTTCTTTTCCTTTTGAAGTTCATATTTTTGTGTTCATCTTTAAAAAAAGAAGAAGAGGATCATGCAACCGGTATGGAAGTGATTGCATGCACCTGTGCTGTCCATACACTCGATCAATGTTGACTTGGTTGGTTTGCTATTTTGATCAATGTTACCCGTGTTACTATGTCTTTTGTTAATTAACTTGTGTTTCGTTGAGCTATTTAATATTATGAACATTTTAACTTAAAAATATTTAGATTTCGATAAATATTAAAAAATTATTAAATTTACATCATGATACTCGTCGAACACTATGAAAAAATATGATACACATGAAATGTTTTCTTTTTATTATTTTAGCCGTTGGATTTAAATTTGGACCATTAGATATCTATATATATTTTTTTGCTATTGGATCGGATCAAATCAAATTTTAATTGTTGGATTCAATAAATTTATATATACAAAATTAAAAAAAAAATACACATATGGTGGGCCATCCCACTAATCGAGAAGGAATTTTGACATAAATTTGCTCTAGAAATGAGCTTTGGTTTAAAGCTCATATTTGGCCAAAGGGTTGGAGCAAATTGGGATAGGTGTGGAACCTAAAATTTAAGTTTTAGTCTAATGGTTGGAGTAGGTCTAAAGGGGTGAGGGAGTGGGCTAAGCCTCATAATAGGCTAGCAATAATGTGGTTCAACTTTTCATTTGACGAGAATTGAACCTAAAACCTTTCGCTTACCAGTAAATAGGAATATACTACACAGTAGTACTAAGTGACCGATCCTTATTCGATCATTTTGTCGCTTAAATGAATCATTTCTAGCATCAGCTATTTTGTACTCAGTTTCTGATTGGCTTCATGCCACCACATTTTTTGAGAATTAGCCAATTTCATGATGGATGCTATTACTAATCTTGACCACTCATCGACGAGGCTTTGTTCTCTCAACTTGAGAGCTTTTCTCACCCTGTGCGAGTGTTTCCAATCCCGGCTTTCAGTCTAGCCGCCGGCCTTAGCTCTAGCCAAGGTTGGTGGCAGCCCATTTTCTTTTGCTTTTCCTAGTTTTCCCCTCTGTTTCCCAGCCTTTGTTCTTCCATTTAACCCTTCCTTGCTCCAATCAGAAAATTTCTTTTTTCGATCTCCCTTCTCTTCTTCCCCCCACTGCCTTTCCCCCTCCATGCGTTCACTCTTTTCTTCTTCTTTCTCTCCCACTTGGGTTCGGCCTCTCTCGATTTCACTTTGGAACGATTTGCTTCCACCTTATTCCGCCGTTTTCAACGGCTTTATCGGAAGGTACGCAAAGCTTCTGCTTGGGTGTTTGCACCACCACCTTCCACTTGTGTGTTGGTCTTGGCACTGTTAGTTGATCCACCAACTGCCTCCTAGGTTTTCTACCATTGGTGGCGGCATATTGATTGTGGAGCTTGATTGAGGACATCGTCTTTTTTTTTTTGTTAGGGCTTGGTTGGGTTTCACCTTCGGTGTTGGTTGGGAAGCTGGCTTGTGGTCACCATGGCATACTTTGGCCACGACGGGCCAGGAGGCTAGGGTTTAGTTTGTGTAGTTTCTGTGCTTTTCCTTTTCGGGCTCGACCCTCGGGTTGGGTTGTTGTCTTGGAGGCCCATCTTTTGTATGTTTTTTGTTGTGTTTATGAGCCTTTGTTTATGTTCGTAAGTGCTGGTTATGAATTTTACCTTTCATTAAAGAAAAAAAAAAAAAATTTCTTGGCCGCTCAATTCACAAAATTGAATTTTAAAGACCGTCTGCATACAATTTTTTTATTTATTTTTATTTTTTTAATTTTTTATGTATTTGTTATTTATTGGGTAGGTATGTTGTCGTGATGTTTGGAATGGAACTCTCATCCTTATCAACAAAAAGAGGGTGCTAGATTTACCTTGTTAATGATAATTACCAAAGTTTGACATAATAACATTCTTTCAATGAATGAATGAGCCACGAAAAAATTTGTGTCCTAATGCATGAATGTTCATGCATGCATGGAAATTTATAGAAAAGCCTTCCATATAAAACCAAGGGTGGATAATATCAAATACTCACCCAAAAAACTCACGCTTTACAATTTTTTCTTAATTTAAATCACAATTTGCTAATATGATTCGCTTCACCAAATTTCACATTGTAAATTTGTTGGCAGTCATAAATTTCACATCCAATGTGTGTGTGTATATATATAGACATATCAATGGTCTATACTCATATTTTGTATATCTTGCAACCTAAGAGCATTAACTTTCTGTTGTGGACTAAATCTGAGAAAATTTATGGGGAGGGTCCTTACAAGGAGTATAAATACCAGTAAGTGGAGTTGGGGTTAAGCAAGCAAGTAAACCGTAGGGCTCCTCCTTAAGCAATCCCTAAGGCATCTCCTTGTGCCCTAGCTAGCAACCATGTCTCGAAAGAAGGTGAAGCTTGCCTACAACCAAAACCGCACGACTCGAAAACTAACATGCAAAAAAAGAAAGAAGGGTTTTATGAAGAAGATGAGCGAAATCACTACCCTTTGTGATGTTGAGGCATGTGCTGTCGTTTACGGACAGAACGATACTCAGCCCGAGGTTTGGCCATTTCCTTCGGGAGTACAAAGCACTTACGCGAAGCTCAGGGAAATGCCGTCAATGGAGCAGACGAAAAAGCAACTGAACATGGAGACTTTTCTGAGGCAGAGAATCGACAAGACAAGGGAACAGCTGAGGAAACAGAAGAAGGAGAACCGGAAGAAGGAAATGTCAATCCTGATGAGCCAGTGCCTGACTGGGAGGTCCCTTCAAGATCTGAACATGGGGGATCTGAATGACCTAGGGTGGGTGGTTTACCACACAGTGAAGGAGATCAATAAAAAGGTGAAGAAAGTGAATGACGAACTGGCTTGGAGCGGGAGCAGTCAAGTCCAAGTTGTACCAACATCCCCACCGCCCCCATCGATCAGTGGGGAAATGATGAACTTGCAACAAGCTCAATCTCAGGTTGTACCCATGGAGATGACGACCCCAGAAGACCAGCAGCCGCAACAGCAGCTGGCAGGGCTTGGAGCAAACACGGGACGACTTTCTGCCCTTTGAGAACCAGGACCACCATGCTATGTGGCCTAATACTCCATTTTTCCCTTAAACGTCGGCGACGTACTGTTTAGTTTTCTTATGAAATGAACCACATGAGTTTCTCACCAATGTTTGAATAATTATGTGATTTCTTTTGAGACCAACCATAGGAGAGCTTTTTGTTTGTTTTTTTTTTTTTTTTAAAAGTAAACCAGAAGGAGGTTGTTGTTCTAATTTTAGTAATTTTATATTTCTTGGATGTAACTTTAATTTAGTCGCTACTAATAAAATACTTAGTTCATCCCTTGTTTTTGGTTTTTCAATTTAACATAATGTGGAGCAAAAAATAATTAAGAAAAATATGAAGGCCACACGTGAATTTTTGGATGAAAAAGACAAGACCCTTAAGGCACACCAGGATTTCTACGCGCAAGCAGTAGACAATCATCCCCCAATCAAGGTCAAAAGTGATTAAAATAGGTATTAATTCAAAACATATTTCATCAACCCTCATCAAATCTTCCCCAAAAGGTAACTCCCAAATTATTTCTTTCAAATTATAATAATTAGCTAATTTATTGATTTATTACTCAATCAAAACATATTTCATCAACCCTCATCAAATCTTGGAATTTTTATTTTTAAAAATTCTTCGATAAAACGTAAAAGAAAAGTACAATGGCAAAAGATTTGAAAACCTCGATGAACGGAAATTCCAACGTTCAAGGATTAGGACCGCGGCGATTTATGGGGCTCAACACAATAATGAGTGGAGCGACACCACCCCCACAGGGCACCATCGTGGCAACCACCTCGGTGCCCACCATGGCAGCCACCTTCGGCGCCACAACCATGGCCTAAGCAGTGCCATTCAAGCCCACACGAGCCCAAGCCCAAGGCGAGACAGCCAGAGCCACTCAAGCCCGACGCGAATCCAATGCGTTGCCAAGCTGAGCCTTAGCCTTGCACCCATGTGTGCTACACACTGAGCAGCCCCACTCCCATGGCCCAGCTTGCTCCCGTGGCCCAACCTACTCTTATGGCCTAGCCTGCTCCCATGGTCAGCATGTTCCCGCGACCCAGTTTGCTCCTGTGGCCTTCCAAGCAGCCCAAATCGGTCCAAGATTAGTTCAACTATCCCGGCTTCAAATTTCTGGGCCTACGATTGAACTAGGGGCATTTTCACCACATTTATCACCGATTTGACATTTCCCAAATCAAATCTCAAGCCCGGAGTCTACCACACTTCCATTGCTCAAGGAGATGCATTCCTTCCAAGCTTTTCCAACCCAAATGGAGAACAACAGTTGTCTCGACAAGTCATAGAATTGACAAACGCCCTCGCATAACAGACGACCTTGGTGAATTAGTTATTGCAGTGCACCGAGATGCAATGTGCCCCAAACAAAGTGTCCCAAAGTAGGACAAAGGTAGACGAAGAACCCCTATAGCAGCGTCCCGGTAAGTAGATACTTAACCAGCCATGAACCGAGTGTTTGGGCAGTGTACATTCCTGATTGGGCCCCCAAGATAGCGTATACTCTTATCTTAGCGCGAGTAGGAGCGTGCACTCTTGACTAGGCCCACAAATGAACATACATTCACGGTTGGGACCACACTCCGATAGTTAACATGAGCAACCTTTCAGGCGAAATGTTCATTCGTGGCTAGGCCCACAATCAGCATCATTTACCTCACATCGGAGTAGGCAGCACGAAGGACAGAGATAAGCAATCACTCAGTCTGACTCAAGCTCAACCAGCAGCCTGCGAAGAATTCCTTCACTTGCTAGGAACGAACCACATGCACTGCAACTGCAGCATAAACGAGCCGAGCACATAGAAGAGCAGCCTGGACTAGTAGGTTATGATCGGGGGTAGCCGAAAGCTCTATTACCCCAATAAAGGCAAATTCAGGAAGAATTAGAAAGGTTCATGATCGAGCGATTGCACGATTTCCAACGCAATAAGGTCACTAATGAGGCACTATGATGGGATATGACCAACATAAGTAGGTCACCCTTCACGGATAAGATTGAGCAGGCAAAGCTTCCATGCAAGTTCAACATGCCACATTTCATATCTTTCAAAGGGGATGGAGACCCGGAGAGACACCTAAAGCACTACTGAAGCGCAATGATCCTCAATCGAAATAACAACGATCTCATGTGCAAGATATTCGCCATTACTCTACAAGGCGAGGCGCAAGATTGGTTTTACACCCTGCCGCCACAATCCATCCAGAGTTTCGATGAATTTTCTTTGGTTTTCACCAAAGAATATTTATCCTATCGCTCGATCAAGAAAAAGTCATACCATTTGTTCAACATCAAGAAGAACCCAAAAGAATCGCTTCCCGATTATGTGAAAAGGTTCAAAGTAGAGAAGGCAAAGATAATCGGATGCAACAATTCGATAGCTAGAGCAGTCTTCCAAAAAGGACTCCCAGGAGACCATCCGTTGTTTAGATAGTTGATCATGAAAGAAGATCTAACTCTGGTAGATTCTTTCGCTCTGTCAGAAAATCATGCATTTTGGGACAAGGTTCGTCGATGCACATTTAAGGCAAATCCGAGTGATCTTGAATATGAAGTCCCCCACTACTTTAAGGGAGATTCAAGATTTGACTGGACGAGCAGCCGTATCAGAAGCAGCAATAAGCTCTACCTTCATATGATAAGAGCTGGGGGCCCAATTACCTGTATTTCACAGTTCAAAAGCTTCATCGATGCGGAAATCAGCTACCAGAGATTCAAAAGCTAACTTTGGCAATAGTTATTGTAACCCGAAAGCTTAAGTTATACCTTCAGACGCATGCAGTCATCCTTATGACGCATTATTCTGCCCAATCCAGAAGCGCAACGATAAATGCGAAGACACTGGCGGTGCAAAGTTTTTTTTACGAACGTAACAACTCAGCTAAAAAAGCATGCTAAGGGCAGACGAACACTAGAAAGACACTCGGAAACAAGTTTTGTCCTTATTTCCCCAGAAGATTTTACATATGAGCAACATGTACCAGCAAGTTGAGCACCACCTCCTGCTGCACGTAACACGGCCCCAGCCGACATTTGCTCCATAATTCAACTCTAGAGCGGCCTGATACGGCAGTTGAGCATCTCTTGCTACGTGTAACATAGTCCCAGCTCCACGACTCCGTACCGCGCCCTCACGCCTAGCCTAGATGATGCAACATAGTGATTCAAAGATGCTTTGGAGGCAGCCGAGCATGCCCTACCCATGCCTGCTTCGCCCGATGGAGACTTTTGGTATTTACACATCAATGACGTATCCAACTATAAAGGCTCAGAAGCAGGCATGGTCCTTGTCACCCCAGACGGTTCGATGCTCGAGCAGGCGATTAATCTAGGCTTCAAGGCATCTAACAACGAAGTAGAGTACAAAACCTTACTAGCAGGCCTCTGAATGGCAAAAGACTTGGAAGTAAAAAAGCTTGTAATTCATTCTGATTCCTAGCTAATCACCAGCCAGACTACTGGGGAGTACATGGCAAAAATCCAAGGATGGCGCAATACTTAGAGAAAGTACGTAAGCAACTTGAGGCATTTCAGACTTACATCTTCACTCAAGTTCTGCAGGCAGACAACGTCGATGTAGACACATTAATTGGCCTAGGCTTTGCCCTCAACCACCAACTCAAACGTTCAATCTCGGTGGAATATCTAAACAAGGCAAGCATAGAGGCGGAGCTAGCAGCCGAAGTGTCACAGGTTAGTACAACTCCAAACTGGCAAAGTTCTATTATAGACTACCTGGTCAATGACACACTCCCCACTGAAAGGTTGGAGTCTAGAAAGCTCCAAATAAAAGGAACACACTACTACATGTGGAATGACATTCTTGCCAGAGATCCTACACTAGACCACATCTCCGTTGCCTAGCATTTCCTTACGACCTAAAGGTTCTAAGCTCAATCCACAAAGACGTTTGTGGAAATCACTCCGAATGTCGATCATTAGCGTAGATGACTCTTAACGCAGGCTACTACTAACCTACCATGCATCAAGACGCTAAGAAGTTAGTGCAAAAGTATGACCGCTGCCAACGCTACAAGCCGGTACCAATACTGCCTACCAGCAAATTACACTAGCAGACAAGTCATTGGCCGTTCATGCAATGTGCAATCAATTTGGTAGGGCCAATGTTGCCTGCTACTGAAGGCAGAGACATGCTGATCGTGGTAACCGATTACTTCACCAAATGGGTAGAAGTTGAGCCCATGAAAACCACGACTCAGGTGGACATAGAACGCTTCATATGGAGGAACATTATTTCTCGGTTTGGTATCCCTAATCCATCGTCACCGACAACGGCCTGTAATTTGTTGGTAAAGATTTGGTGAAGTTCTTCCAAAAGTATGGCATCAAGTGACATGTCCACATCGATATATCCTCAAGGCAATGGGTAGGCCGAAGTATCTAATAAGACGATTCTCGACTATCTCAAGAAATTTCTCTTCGACAAGAAGGGAAAGTGGCCAAACGAACTCGCTGGATGTCTATGGGCATATCGCACGACCAAATGACGAGCCACCGGTGAGATTTCTTTCTCTTTAGTATTTGGTTCAAAACCAATCATTTCTCCCAATTGTCTTCGTGCTAAGTATCAGCACTCTGCTGCCAAGCATTGAGAGATCCGACAGTTTCAACCCTGAGATCTATTCCTAAGAAAATCCTTCATCACTGCCGACAAAGAAGGCTCCAAAAAGATGGATCTCATCTGGAAAGGTCCATACAAGATCAGCAAAGTAGGCTGCAAAGATAGTTACACCCTCGCCATCAAGAACGTCAAAGAGATTGAAAAGTAGTGGAACGCCTACAATCTGAGGAAGTACCATGTGTGACATCCTACCACATCAAAACTCTAACACTCAAGCAACTCGACGGGCACCACTTCACAAGCTGAGGACTATCCAGTTATTATGCAGTTCATACCTTACAACTAAGTTCTCGTTTGTTTCACTCATTTTTCAATGAGGAATTTAGAAGTAATCTATAACTTGGCTCGGCTGCATGCTTACAATAACTGATCTCTCATACACTTCAAAAGAAGACCGCACCCTTCTTAAGGACTTATTACAGGAATTGCGCACCTCGAGGGACCAACCATGCTCTCCAGTGCGAGAGG